TTCAAGCAAATCTCGCATCAGTCGATAGTAAAATGTTCAAACTATTTACCATATTTTCATTCTACCTTGAAAAGTTTACGATTTATCAATAAATAAGTACAACGAAGTTTTCTGAAGTAAATGATTTTTCCCCAACTCACTCTATAAATGATTCTATAGCACCTTTGCAGATGTCCTTCTCTAACGTATAATCTGTTTGTGAATATCAAAAATGATGGTGATCCCACAACAAGATGCCTATGTGTAGGATTATAACGTGTCATATTTCAATTTGACTACTAGGATATAAATACTTAGTTTTTTTCGACTGAACAGATGCACATTCGGTAGTAAGAGTAATAGAACAAAAAAGAAAAAGTACTCGGAAAGAATACTTTTTCTTCTCTATTTATTATAAACAAACATGAACAAAACGTTTCGTAAACAAACGATTAGCTTCCGCCTTCAACGTTAACTACTTGATCTTTGGTTACGAACTAATTAAGGAATAAATAATAATCATCATAATATCAAGTAATAGATAAAACATACCTGTGACACCCACAACACAAGTATTCGAACGAACGTATCTCTGTTTCTATATCTCTACTTCTACAGCTGAAATTCTCAAATCATCAAAGAAGAAAAAAAAGAAATAAATTGTTTCTGAAACATATTCTATTGTGCTAAGTGAATATATCATATGGAAATTAATATTATCATCAATCAAATTTAGTTTATTTATGAAAAAAATTGATTGAAATGTTCACCTAAACTATCTTTCAGCATGACAAAAGGTGGCAGCAAACAAAAAAAGTTGGGTAAGTGTCTTTTCGCTTTGCGAAAAATTAAACATATGGATGATATTAGCAGTCAAGGTTATTGATATGGCCATACAAAGTGTCTGAAATTGGGAAAATATTTAGTACCTAAACGAAATTAAAATGACAGACATACACACATGTAATAATAAAACATAAATTTTGTTTTATTCGGTTGTCTCGTTTTCTGTCTGACAGTTTCTTTTATGATTTTTCAGGACGTTTAATTTTTGGTGGAAATCGAAAACATTCTCCAACAAAGCGTTCTCAAACACGCACAGCTGATGTCATTAGTAGCAGCACGAATAATTTGTTGAATATTCATGATTGGGCTGTATGGCGTATGCAATTAAACGAGCATATGATATCAGGCTTATCCGAAGCAAAACCTGATTTGAAATATATGCGTCATTTTTTACAAACAAATCCGTTTTATCAGAAATATTCACATGATCCTTCAAATGGTCGTAATGCAGGTATTTACAACAATTCTTCAAGTTCTTTAATAGCGTAGTTTCACGTTGACAATCTTTTCGTAGGTGTTCGTCTCATGTTTTCAATACCACATCCAAAGCTGAGACCGGAGTTTGTGGAAATACCCAATAAATCCCCTCTAATTAACAATACTGATGTGGTGAAAACGCATGCCAAAAATATGAATGAAAACAATGATCTAATAGAAAGTGTCAATTCAGTAGGTGCTACTAGCCATCGATCATTGAAACAACAAAACTCAAATGGACTTCATGGACACAGTGATATACGAGCGAGTAGTTCAAGTGCTGGAGTAATTGAGGCTAAATTCAAGTAAAAATACATTTATTCTTGATAGAGCTTTACAGTCTATATTGGAGATGTGCACGGGTATGGTTTTCCAACTCGTACCCGACCCCAAAAACTTTTTCTACCCGTACCCGACTTGTGCCTAAAAATTTTCTTCGTTTTAGTTTCCAGCCAAAAACTTTTGTTTTCGGCTGGAGATGTCAAGTTATCAGTACGTTCTCAAATAATTCTTTTAAAACTTCATGCATTTTAGCTAAAATCTTGTATTTTTTCACTAAACTTTTGTGGTTTCCCAGTAAAATCTTCCGATTTTCAGGTAACTTTAAAAAAAACGGAACCCGCACCCGACAACTTCGTACCCAATATTCGGGTCGGGCCGGGTTGCACATATCTAGTCTAAGTAGGTACACTTTCATTACTACCTAAGTTAATATTCTTTTTAACTTTTATGAAGCCTGTATTCTTGTTTCAGAAAGACTGTACGTACATCATATACAGGTGCAGATCGAGCACATTCTACATTACAAAAAGCCGTTAAAGGCGGCAACGTACTTGAAAAAATCAAGGCTTTTGAACAGGTGGCAGCAGCTGCTGCTGAAGCGAGTAATCATACACGAATTCTATCTGTATCATCTACAACAAATCCCGCAGCAAGTCCAAAACAAGGCGAACGATGGAAATCAACACCTACAACGTTGGATCAACAAGGTTCATCTTTTAATAATGAACAACCTTATCCTATCCGAATAGGTTTAACGAGTAAAGGACGTTATACTGCGGGTAGAACAAATGGTCAAAGAGGTAGACGAGGACCTAATGAGCATCATCACCACCACGACGATCGACGACATATGATAGCAACACCAAATGGAAAAATAAAAGCATCTGTTTTACAACCGGCTGATGGAGATATCATTTTGAAACGTCGAACACCATCACAGAAAACTATTCAAGATGAAGACTGTTCCATAACCGCAATCAGTTCCCTAACAATGGGTATACCTGTTTCGCCATCACGCACACTGACTCCAAAAAGAGTTGTTTCTCCGACTCATCATTATAATGAAAAGCATTGGTTTAAAACCGGAGGTCATCATACACCACATCGAAGGGATGCAGGATCAAGGTCGCGACATAACCAGGCTGAAATGGTAAAAAAATCTATGAAAACAATTTCAAACACTGATTTATCAAAGCAACAGAATGGTGGTAAATCGACGTCGCGTCGGCGATGGTTACGACGAAAAGAAAATGATGGTGAAACTGTCCATGATACTAGTAATACTGCTAGACAGTTGAAAACACCTGAAGGTAAAATATCGCCAAAACAAATTGTTTTAAATAAAAAACAAGAAATAATGTCAACAAAAAAAAAACATAAAAAAGCTGCTACGAATGATACTATCAACGCTGTTGTACGAAAAGAATCAACGATACAAAAAACAACGGTGTTAGATAATAATCGTGTATACGGTGTTCCATCTACGAACACTAATACTAGTCCCAATGAAGATGAAAAACAGAAAAAACAAGGTTCACCTGTTAACGAATCAGGTACCGATGACATCGATCAAGAATTAACAAAAAATTCTGATGTCGAACCTCAACAACAAATATCAGACGTGGACAAAAAATCAAAACTTGAAACAATAGCCATAACGAAATCGCCGCTAGCCATTAGTGAAAATGATGATGAATATCATAAACAAATGGTTGTTGAGCGTGTACATAAACGATTTAATAAAAATTCTCACAAATTATCAAGTACAGATGGAGATATATTGAATCAAACATCGGGAATGATCAATAAACGGTAAGAATCGTCCATTTTGATATATTCAAAGTCCGCATATGTTTAATAGTCTAGGCTTGCTTCACAGCTGGTTAGAATATTGGACAAAATTAGTTCAGCTGCTAATAACACTAGTCAGAGACTACAAAACGTGGGTTATTAGAAAGTGTTATTAGGCTAGGTTCAATAATTTTTTGACCTTTAGAAACTCTTACCAAACTGACAAACGAACATATAATTTGGATGAAGAACGTTCACAAGATGAACAAAGTATATCTGTCCTCGATGATGTTTTTATAGATGATCCCACCGACGAAACAGTAAAACAAATTGAAGAAAAAAATCTTATTTCATCACGTCGTAATTCTCTAGTAATAACAACAAAAATTACTCGACATCAATCATCATGTGAAGAACAAAAACATTATCCTATTCGTCGCAATATTAGTCAACGTTCAATGAAAGAACATGAAAATGTCTCAAATAATGAGAATAATCAACGACGTCGTAGTTCAATAGTTATTACTGATGAAACAAACGTAGTTTCTCCGAATACCAATGATCCGAATATAAATGAAATCAAAACTAATCGTCGTTGGTATTGGAGTAAAGAAACAGGTGGTTTAAAAAAATCAAAACTTAAAAATTTACCATCACCTGTTAAACATCAACAACAGCAAACTATAACAATAATCACGAGAAAAGATGATGCTGATAAGATAATAAATAATAACATAAACGATGAAATATATGAGTCACCCAATTCAGAGGAAACAATTGACAATGTTGATCACACTCAAAAATTACGTCAATATCATACAGTTGGCTCATCAACAAAACCAAAAACAAGTAAACAAATTTTACATGCCATTGTCACAATGAATTCAAATGACACAAATCCAAACGAAATAACAACTGATAAAAAATTACACCAACAGCAAATGAATAATGAAGCAGATTTTTTTGAAAATGGTCCACTTTCGAACCCTAACTAATTATCAACATTGAAATCAAACTCATTAGGCTAGAAGCCTTTATATTCATCATCAATCGTCTAAAAAAACTTACCTTGTGTAATAATCTTATTATGTCTAGTTGTCAACGAATGAGAAAAAGATGACTCAAAGACGTTTTTGTTATTTGAAAATAAAATGTTTTCAATTATCGAGAGTGTAAAAAATACTGTACAAAATAAGTAAATTATTTTTAAAATAAAAAAATCATTTGATACACATTTTATTTTTTGGAATCACTACGTTCACCTACAAAAGATAACATGGAGAAGAAAAAAAAGTGTCTTAATGTTCAATTTGTACCAATGCTGGAAATGTTTTCATTCTTAGTCGTTCGACTTCTGCTCTCAAATATGCCACTTCTTGAGCTTGTGCTTTAGCTAAATCAACTAATCGTCGACGTCGAACAATTTGTTTCATACGATCATTTTGTGATGTTTTAGATTGTTCCACAACTACAAAAAAATAAGAAAATCGATAATACTAATGGAAAAAAAGTGAAGATAGATCTACTTACTACGATCATCGATAATATTTTTTCGTTCATATAGATTTACATTAGCATTTTGAAGTGCTAAAAAAAATTTAAGAAAAAAAATGTTTGAATTGTACAGAATTGACCTTCTTTATGTGAACATGAGAGAAAGATGTCGAAAATTAGTATCATTCTCAAAAACTTTAATACAAAAATCATCAAAAAAAAAATATACCTTCATCTACAGCTAATGTTGTATTTGCAATACCAAGGTTATCCCGTTGTAATCTTTGTACTTCACTATCTTTTATAATTTGTTGTTCTTCAAAACGCTATAAAAATAATACTATATGATCAATTGCAATTCTAATTGTCATACAATAATACTTAACCTGTTTCATTTTTTCAATTGTATTTTCAAACATTTGTATTTCTCGTTGATTTTTAAGATCAAATGCTGTGTCATCTGCACATGCCAAATATTCTTGAATATTTCTTGTCACTTTTAAAAATGTAATATCTTGTGCACGTTGTTTTAAATCTGTTATTTCGTAATTCAATTTCTTTTTATCCCTTAAAAAAAGTTAAAAAAGTTTAAAAAAATATTTGTAAAAGAATCACCGAACAATATTACCATTCCATAGCATATAAGTCATTACAGACGCGTTTCGATTTTTCCATTTGTTTAATTTTGAGATTAGCTGATTCCTAAAGCGTAGTGACAAGTATTTAAAATTTACTTTGATCCTCTCAGTTTTACACGATCTAATGTCATAAAAAGTCTATTTTTATTTTAGACATTAACCGATTAGAAATAAAAAGGCCCGATTATTGTGCAAATAGTATGAGGAGTAACTATGCATGCTCTGCACGATTGATTAACTGCACATTTTTTTATTTTGGATTTATTTAGGTCATATGCAAATGGGATAGAACTATATGACAATATCTAATACATACTATAATTAGTTTATTTAAATCTTCAACTTCACGACGATGAATAAGTTCACAATCATTACAGCGATATTGATCAGGTGGCACATCTGGTGGTGGTGATTCAATTTCAATCTGACCTTGTTTGAGAACAACTTGAACGTACAAGTCAATAAGATCATCAACACGAGAATCAATTGTTCTAAATAAAAATGATTTTCCATCATTTTATTAGAGACTTTGACGTATGAAGTTGGATGTAGTTAGCAAAATAGTAGTATAATAGTCTATTATAGGATTATATCAAGTTAGAAACTTACGTGTTAGATAAATTACGAATTTGTTCAATTTCCTGAGTTTTTCGTATCATTTCACCTTCACGTGCATTTTTCAAATTTTTAATAATTATTTCTTCTTGTTCTTGTTGACGTATCTAATGAAAAGAATCAATTTCTTTTTTTAATAAGTATATCTCATTTTATTTCAAAATTTTCTAACATACCTCCTTTTCAAGATCTAATTTTTTTCTTCGATATTCTACAAAACGTTCCCAAACATCTTTAACAATATTAGCTGGTGCATTTGTAAATGAATCAGCTTCTAATTGAAGTTTTTCCAATTCTATTTCAATTGATCGAGTTTGATGAGCCGAATAAGGATTAAATTCACCAACCGGTTTTGTCACTTGTTTCAGTCTAATATAAGAAAATGAATTATTAAATTTCTATTTTGAGTTTAAAAAGCAAATTACTTTGGTTTTTTAGTCAGTTGTCGTTTGAGTGCTTCTTGTAATGCTGATGGTACATCAGCAAATTCTCTCGGAAACATTCTCTCAAATGAATCATCTTGTTTAAGTCGTTTTCGTTCTTGTTCAACAATACCAGCTGCCATTTCTAATGCTAATTTTGATACTTCTAATTCATTCTAAGAAAAAACAAAAAATTAAAACAAAAATATTTTTATTTTATTAATTTTGATTTGCCTACAAGTTTTTCTTGAAGTATTCGTGCACGTTCAACATATTTTTCTTCTAATTGTTCAATAAAACGATCTTTTACAAGCGAATAAGCTATACGACTTATTTTTAATTCTTCCTAAATGAATATCTGATAATAGATTCTGATTATACTTCTGAGTATTTTAAACTACTTGTAAAATGGCAGTTTGAGCAAGAAGTTTTCGTCGATGAAGTTGTTGTAAAATTTGTTCAAAACCTAAACAATTTTCTTTAATTTGTTCATTAATTTTAGTTAATTCTGCTGTTAGAACCTGGAAGAAAAAAGAAAATATATATATATTTAATCAATTCAATTTATTGTTTAAATGATACTTACTTTTCGCAATTTTTCCCGTTCTTCTTGAATTTCTTTCACTTTTTGTAAATACAATTGATATTGTTGACGTTCAAGTTCTGTCCAATCTTCTTCAGCTTTTTCAATAGCAAACGCTGGTTTTGGTACTTCCTAAATATTAAAAAAAACACACAAACAATATGATATCGAAATGAAATTGGCAAGTGTGTTTAAAATTACTTTTTTCAGTTCATCTTCTCGTCGAACTTGCAGTACACCACCCATCATTTCTTGTAAACCACGCTCTCTCCAGTTATCTGATTTTTCCAGTTCACGTCGACGTTCTTCCGCTAGACGTTGTTCTTCTAATTGTTTTAGTTGTTCAGGCGTATAATATCGTTCAACATTAACCTAAATATAAAATAAATAACTATTAGTTTTTATTATAGGAAACTGGAGGAAACATGTTACTTCATTTTCTTTAACATCAAATAATAAATTTGGATTCTCCTTTTCCGATAGATCTGGTTCCCAAACTTGTGTTTTATCATCAATATCATAATTAATCTGTTTTATTCGTGTATTTCGTTCACGTATTTTGGCTAATTCTTGTAACTTTTTTTGATGAACTTCTTCAAATTCACGATTAAATGCTTCTTTTAACTTATAGATGAGATCTTGAATAAGTGCAATTTGGGTCCACTTTTGTTCGATTGTATAAAGTTCAAATTGACTATACAGCACACTAGTATCAACATTAAATTCATTACTAAAAGAAAAATAGAAAGTACAAAAAAAAAGGGATCAGTTATATTTTTTCGTTGCTAAATAAACTAACTCTACCTGACTGAGCCGAGTAAGGCTATCGATTGTTTTTCTGATTCTTTCACTTCTTCTTCATTTTCATAATTGATTTCACGACTTATATGATCATTATGCTATAGATGAAAAATACAATTATAAACGATTATAGCAATATTATAGCAAAACAAAATTTTGTTTACCGTTGGCAACTCTCCTGTTTCCTGTAAAATAAATTCATCATTCAAAATTTGTCGTCGAAGTTTTTTTTCTGCTATTTCAATTCGTCGTCGCTCAATTGTTTGACGTATACTCTCCTGTTCTTCTAGTGTTCGTAATACAAGAGGATAATTTTCAACTTGTAAACCACTGTAAAAACCCTTAAAATATCAAATGCAGGACTACATGTTTTTCATTGAACAATAAATTAGTATGGATTCTCATACTTCGATACATCGGCCTTTTACTGACATTGAATCCCAACATTGTTGTTTAATAACTTCACGTTGCATTAATTTTTGTAAATTTTGCATTAAAGTTTCTTCACGAATCTATTGAATTTTATAACAAATGCCAGACATACGATATATTTTCATTCAATATTTATCGTACCTTGGTAATTTTTACATCTCGTTCTTTTTTTTGTCGATCTTGTTCCTCAACATCCAAATCAAAGTCTCGACGATCCAGACGAGCCTTTTCTTCACGGCCATCATTTATTGAGATTAATTGACCCAACTAGAAAATATAAACTAGAATTTTTAGCACAATCGTTAAGTCAAAAGACGCACCTCTGCTCGAATTGCATCTAATTCTCGCCTAATATCAACTTTTGTACGTAAATGTTGATCAAAATCGCGTAATGTTGCCTAGATATGAAAATGAATATATGATAATCACAATTCTAATTTAGAACAAAAATATTTCACTGTTATACTTCGTATTCTTTTAATTGAATCCATGACAAGTCTGGTTCTGGAGCTGTTGGCGGGGTAATGCCTACTTGTCGAAATTTTTCCTGATATGATTCCTATTAAACACACATATGATCATAATAATTCAAAACAGTTTTAATCATGCACTATTTACATACATATTTTTGATTTATTTGTTTAAACAATGATGTTGGTTCATTTTCGTACGTCCTTGTATCTTTTAAATGTTGAATTTTACTTCTATATTCATCAGAAGACAAACTAAATCGTTGATCCAATTTACCATGATGTCTAAAAGAATTTAGAAAATAAATATAAAATTTTATTTATCTATTATTTTCATTGTGTACTTACTTGCATTGAAATGCGACAATTGTACTATCTTCACTAATGGAAACAATAAATTTTGAATCTAAACTCCATATTGATTTATGACATCCTCCTGATAATGGTGTATGTACGTTAAATACTGATTGTATGCTCTACAAAAAGAGAATGAATTTCAATTGGAAATATGTGTATTATCAAATGAGCTAACCAAATCTGAGAGATGAATAACAGATAATATTCCATCTCGACTAATAGCTATGGCACAAGATGGTAACGCGTTGCTTTTGTATAAATGGCCTCCAGTTGATGGTAATGTTTGAACAATATCTTGTGGTTCAATAGCAACCAATTTGTTGAGCTAGAAAACGAGAAACAAAACAAGTGAATTTTAATACTGTATTCAAGAAACGATAATAAAAATTTAATTAAAAACTATGTGCAAAAAATTCATAAAGAAATAACAGAGCAATGCGCAAAGCATCTGACGTTTAATACACCACGCTTTGTTTTTCCTGCTAATTTCTTCTTGCCATCCTTAAATATAAACACACACACACATACAATCGATCAGTATTCATAGAGCCGATTTATGAAAAGCTATAAATAGCGATTGTTTTTAATTAAATAATAAATGAATGATAAAAAAATATATAAAAATATTTTATTTAGCAGCAAAAAAATTTTTTTTCCATTTACTCGACGTCGTTTCTCAATTTTTAAGAGATTCTAAAAAAAAATTTTGTTAAAAAAATTGAGTCTTTTTGAAATTATTTAATAATAATTTCAAAAATTTTCTTCTCACATAACATATTTCGAAACCTAATAGTATAAATATTTTGATCTCATTTTAATTCACTTACTTGACGAGTTTCTTCTGGTATTCTACACATTCTCAATAATTTTCCAGCTACAGTCAGAATTTGATTTTTAGTTATCAATAACAAATCGTCGATTGTCTCATGTAAACCAAAATAAACTTTGTTACTGTATAACTTTTCAGTTCTTTGTTCGTTATTACCATTATCAGAGGACATAGTGGTTTGTCGTGTCGTCACTCGTCCATAAGCATCTAAATGATACAAAAATACATAACTATTTTTTAACGAAAAACTAGAATATATAGAAGATATCGACTGTACCTCTATTAAATTGCCAATCTAGATCTAATACAAGCAATCTTCCATATTTATCGGCTTTTGTTGTCATTGCAACAACCACACGTGTTTGATATAAACGTGTTACCGCTGTTCCACCCAAATCATCAAAATTGTGGCTCACGTCTTCATGTGCCGCACGGTGAAGTTCAAAATCTTCTAATTCAACAGCAAATGGTTCACCTGAAAAGAAGCTTCAATTTAATTATCTTATAAAGTAAATATTCAATTATTTTACCTTCTAATTCAGTACGATTCAATACATGAAACATTTCTTCACCTGAATGAGCATTATCTACTGTAATTTCCAATAGAAATAAACTATTATCAGTACCAGCCGATACTAATAGATTGCCATTTGAATTAAATTTAATACATTTAATATCGCTTGAATGAATTCGCATCGAATGTAATAGTCGAAAATTATTTTCAATTACTGCCAAAAAATAAAACTGTCCAGTAACTGATGTAACAATAATAAGTGGTAACAAGGGACTTGCTACAATATGGCTCACCTAAACAAAAAAACATTACTATTGGTCAGATTATCACCTATTTAACTCACTTGATTAGGAATTTGTGTAAAAAAGCTTCTTAATCCATCAGTCATTGACCATGCTTCTACTGTGCCCGTCTCTCTTATTGTAATAACATATTCATTTAATGGATTAAGTATGGCAACATCAATAATTTTTCCTATAGAAACCGGTACTAATGGAGATCGAGATGCCATTGTCGACAAATCCAGAATATCGAGTCCTTGTAATGAGCTAACAAATAATAATGTACACGATAAATTAAAATTAATATGTGTCAATTTTCCATCTAATTGCATTAAGTCTGATACACCATTTGCTTCTTGTAAACTATCTTCTTGATTATCAAACGTAACCAAACGTACAACATCATCGGTACCAGCAGCAAATAAACCAAGTTTATGCAAACGAATTTTTTTAAACATACACATTTCAACATTACCCTCTTCTTCAGCAAAACGTGTAGTACGAGATAATATTTTTTCACGATCAAATTGTAATATAACTTGTATTAATGAATTATCCGCTGTACCAATATAAATAAAACCTAAAATATCAAATCTCAAAAGAGTATAACTCAACCAAACATTCAATTAGACACTTTTACCTTTGTCACCCCAACAAAATGACGTTGCTATCAAATTTTCCCGAACATCCATGTATGTTTGAAGTGCTTCTTCATTTTCCGTGTCAAACGCCACAAGCGTGATGCTGGATGCTTTATCAGCACTTATTGTATTATCCATTAATGTGTAAGAAAATCGACTTGGATATAAACGAATCAACTCTGAGACTAAAAAACAAAAGAACATTGTGTGGGTGGTATACCATACAACTTGTTTTTTTTACATACTGCGATTTTGTGGATTTGTTTTCGATGATGAAGATTGCTGAGTATATGAAACAGTTTGATTAAATAACTCTAACGGCAATACACGTTCTGATAAAGTATATTTATCATCCCGACGTTCACATGTATACAAATTAATTTGATCTTTATACAGTATTGCAATATCATGCCACGAATTTGGATTAAAACTGACTTCGATTATTTCTTTTTGTGCTGTTTCTTTTTGAGCTAATTTAACACCTTTTTTCCAGTCCCAGACAGTTAAAAGATAATCAGGACCGACTGACAATGATAACAGTTCATCGGTAGTTGAAAATTCCAAAGCACTATATTCGAATTCAGCAGCGCCAGATAACGTTGTTAATTCCGTTAAACTAGGATATTCTCGTATATGAATGGATGGTGATGGTTGTAAATCACTGAATGCATAAACATGAGCGTCGGGATTCCCAGCTATAACTCCAACTCCTAAGCCGTTTGCTGATATAGTAAAACTTTTTTGAGTTTCAACAGTCGTAAACTCATGGAACCTTAAACCATCATCGACAGCGTAGAACAATATGAATTGATCAACAAATGCTATCGGTTGACCAGTAAAACTGCTTGTCCACCTAAGAAAACCAAAATATGTTCTATTTTGCTCTGCTTCAAGAAATAGAATGTATGAACCAGCTCTTACCAACGATTCAACGTTAGATTTTTTGCACTGGGTAAACGTCCGGTACGAGCAGTCCCAGTAGTCATCTTCAAAAGAAATTGTTCTTTAAAAATCAAGTATTTTAGTATTGATGACTTTTTAATGTAAAAACCACGGTTTTTACTTGGATTACAGAACGTATAAAATGACGTTTTTTATTAAACACATTTGCACATATTTGTCGTGCAATTTCCTAAAACTAAGACTGTTTTATTCACGAAAAGTGAGAGAAAAAAGAATCTCTTCAACTTTTTCCCAGGCGGCCTCTGATAGATTCTAAAACGTCATGGTCCAGTCTTGTCCTTAAAATAGAAAACTACTGCGAGATTTTATACAATTTCATCATAGAGAATTAACGATAACATAGCTGTATCTGCTGAATTAACAATCAGCAAAGTAAAGTATCTAATTGAAAACTGTACATATCTACGCATTTGTCAAAATAACCGGTACAATTGGCGTAAAGAACTGGCATCAACTTCGTCTATGCATCTGAGATATCTACATCTTATATACCATATTTCGAAGATCTGTTTAAAAAGCTACATAACAAAGATTAGCAGGAGAATATTTTGATTCTTAAATTTTCTATAACCGCCGTATCTAATGCGGCAACTGGTTTACTGTTCTCACTACAACTAAAAAGCAATCGGATCATTACAAAAAATCATTTCTTAGCAACGTCCTCCATTCGTTTATTCACCAATCAATACGTAGCGTGATAGTCTCCAGATGATTTGATGGATAAAAGCCAATACCATCTCACAAGAAAAATAATAAAATGGATAAATAAATAAATGAAATCACCCAAACTTAATCGACTCGAATCGTTCTGATTATGATTTATTTTCTCATAAAATACACACTTTTGAGAATCTAAACGCTTCTTCGACGTAGCATTCGTGAATGTGGACAATAATACTTATTGCTTTGTGTTCGTTCAAATATTTTCGATACTAGAGATGTTAATCGATCGTTTGATCGACTGCGGCATTTTTCAGCAGTCAAATTGCTGAAAACACTCCAGACAATGATTATCTAACTTAATCCATTGTCTGGGATTTTCAAGCAGTTTAGATTAATTTTGAATGAAATATGTACATTTTGTACGTTAGGGAAAACAGCCAAATAGTCTAATTTAATTCCAGACATGTTTACGCTAGTGTCATTGAGTTTTACTTGAAGCTAAGAATTTTTACGAGATTTGCAAATTTTAAAAAAAAGATTGTCAGTATAGCTCCTATCGGAGGTAAAATATGTAAATTCTCCGATGGCAAAGGTAGTGTTACGTGTATTATATTAACTTGTACAAGTTTTATCTATACTTGAGAGGGAAAAAAATATTGCGCAAAAATAACAAATATATATTTAATAGACAGTTAGTATTACACCAATCGCAAATATTCTATTAAAACATTCTGTAATGAACACAACGAAAATGAGTTTAAGACATTCTATAATGTAAACATTTAAATACGATGTTTTGTAGTTCTCGCGAACAAATTTTAAAACTTTATCAATTTACGATGTTTTATAGCACCGTTATCGCACATTCTATAATACACTGCAGTGTCAAAACTATAATTTAGGACGTTTTGTAGTTGAGGAGTGAGGAGGAGAAAAAATTAGTGAAATCGCTAAGGATTTGAGTATACAACTGAAACTCCGCTTGAAATCTGTAGGTTGAGGAGTTACACAAAAGTAAGTCTCGGATTTGCACGACAGAAAAGTTGTTCAAGAAATACGTCGTCTTAGCCCTTTTTCTATTTTCCATCCAATTCACCGTCCTCATTACTCTTCCTTTAGAAATGCGTTCGTATTACACCTCTTGTAAACGGGTTTTTTTTCCGTTATTTTTCTATGCATCTATTACCGACTGGAATAACCTTCTAGAGTCGGTCATTTGTCTTTCTTTATCTTCGTTCAAAACCAGCGGCGTATCCAGGGGGGGGGGGGGCGGCAAATGGGCAATTGCCCATTTCATTGGAGATTTGCCCATTGTAATTTTACTTAGTAGATATACCCATGCGGTTTTTTTTGTATAAGCCTTAGAAAGATATATGTAAGAGTGCCTATAGACAGAATTATTTGTTTATTTTTGAATTAGAATCTAATTTAAAAATTAAAAGAATCTCATTTCATTTTTTTGTGTTCTTTTTGGACCAAAAATCTTTTGGTCCATCGACAAAAACCTTGCCCATTTTGCCCATCGTTTTTTTCCGATACAATAGAACTTTGTCCATTGGACTAAAAATCCTGGTTACGCCGCTGTTCAAAACAGTATTATCAAAATATCTTTCACAGCAACCTTCAGCCATGTTCTTAGTCAACTGTATTGGTGTCATCTATTTTTCTTTTTATTTGTTTTATTGACATTATTCTTTTTTTATTTTCTTTCTATTTGTTCGCTATTTCTCTGGTTTTCTTATTTTGTTTACTATTCATAGCTTCAACTTTTACTGTTTGACTTGAGTCATTGTTATTATAGGTCGAGAACGTTTGATGACTCACTTTTCATAAATAAATATTATTTATTTTTATTATTATCATTATTACGTAGAAGTTCATTTATTCCGAACCATTCGTTAGATAAGAAGATTCAATAGATGCTGAGAGCTAAATGTTTTGCCCAATCAATCTGTCATGCAACCTTGGACTGCTTGATTCCACTGCTCACTTTTCTTCTGATATTGTGAGCAATTTCTCGATTTTATTATTAAAATCATAAGAATGACATCAACGCTCGGAAAACAAAATTGTCTGTCTATTTTTTTTTATTTTTCTAGATCGTAACCAAATATATCGATATTCATCTTGTATGTAGTTTTAATCGAAGAGAATGATATCGATGCTTCACCCTATACCGTTTCATCACCTATGATGGCAAAATCGAGATATAATTCATATGAAACTGAACATGACTGATAAACGTGGATGATATTATACACGAAATAGACATATGCTCTATGAATATCGTTCCAGTCCAAAACTAGATACTTAGACTTTTTTTTTTATTCGAAAATACATTTTTTTTTGTTTTGTTATTTCTTTTTGTATTATGTATATTCACGTGGTTGTCAAGTTTCATATGCCATTCTTTGATAGTGTATTGTTATTGTTGATAGCAATTAATAAAAGACATCTGTTAATTTACTAGTTTTACAAATTTTTTAAGTATGAAACGTCTATAAGATATAGATTATTTGTCAGTTATTTGAATTGCATTATTTATTAAAGAGACGACGAAAGCTTCTTGATTAACTTGACGGTATAATTTATCTAGCTTAAAATAACTTCCATCGTAAATACTATGAAACATGTTTTAAACTCTTAGATAAAGATATTTTTCTTTTTTATTTCTATGTTGACTGACTTTGATTATTTAATATTTTTTGGCGTAATATAGTAGAAAAACGGCGACTTTTCAACAAATAAGAAAGAAAAGAACTTGTTGATACATGAATATCGGACCTGTGAGTGATATACAAAAGGATGTTTTTCTGAAAAAAAATATTATTTGTATATACGAGACGAAAAAACAAAACCAGATATAAATGTTTTTATATAAATGTTACTTGAATAATTAAGTAATTGGGGAGTTTTTTTTCAAGATCATCCCGTTATAGAAAGGAAAAGACAGTAACTGATTTTATTGTTTTCTATTTTTTTGGTTAAGTGAAGCTAAATGTCTTTAATGAAAGAAAGACATCCCGTTTCTTTGGCAGATGAATATTTTTTCTTGTCGATCAGAAATTTTGTTGCTAATATAGAGTGCAGACTGTCAAAAATTTTTACATAATGGATTTTCTTAGAATATGTATGTCAATAAGTTACTGGTTGTCAACAAATTACATTCAGACAATATTATGAAGAAAGTAATGAAAATATGTGTATAAAATAATCTCATAATTACTAATAAACTCTATTAAACTTATAGATCTAATCGTATTAATTTGCTCTCAAAGAACATGTTAGTTTCTCAGATATGTATAGATTCTCTCAAAAAACAACAACAACAACAACGAAGATGAGGTGCGAAGCACAATTTAGTTTGTAGTGTTCGTTACAACATTATTCAGAAAAGATTCAATGTTTCTTGCCTACAACGTTGTCCTTCAATTTATCGAATGATGAAGCTCTTACTGATAAAGTCCATACGAAGGAAACATGTATGAAACAAAAGTATGTTTGTTTCTATAACAAGATTTAAGTGGGATGAGGCCCTGACTTGTTAAATTTGATCAGAGTTAATGAAGTAAATGATCATAGTCAAAGATGTAGCTATAAGATTAGAGAATCAGTTTTGTATCATAAAAAGTTTACACTCAGAAAATATAATTCGCTGTGAAAGTTTTTTGTTTTCACTACTAGAAAGATAACAGTTCTTAACTTATAGTAACTAGAGCTATTATACTAGAATAAAAAGAACTCCAATATACCACTTCGTAACCAGATCACGTATTTAATATCTTAATATAAGATCATCAGAGTCTGATTCTTGACAGGTTAAGAATATTGAACATCGAAAATTCCAAATGTCAAAAAATAAAAAATCTATCAATAAAATATTATTTTATAGTTTGCCACTGCTTTAGATAGAGATATAAATTTAAAAATCTAGACTCTTCATATTTGTGTGAAGGAAACTTTTACACTGAAAGACGAAAGAGAAGTTTTTGACAAAATTTATCGTAGAGCTTAAAAAAGTTGTGAAAGTAAAAATACATGTAAAAAGAACTTGAAACAACATCATTTGCTATATTTTTCATATACGTAACATGCAGGTCTTGTTTAATGCATGATAATCTGTATTTGTCATGTCTATGTAATGTATTAAAATTTATTGAGATGAATTTTCGCAGAGAAAAATAGCTGTTTTTTTTGTTATGATTAGTCTGTATAAGGTATCGTACAATATAGTCTTTAGTGGTAGAAAAAATGACAACCATTTATCAATGACTCGTTCTTTTATTTTATTACAATAATGTTTTCAGAGAGATAAACTTCTTTTATGTGTGGTTGTGTATAGCAATATATGTAGAGAGGAAGACTATAGGATAAAAAACGATTCATCAACCATACAAGAAAGCAAAATATTCATGTAATTATTTATTTTTATTTGTGTATGTTATATAAGTTATGAACGCATAATAGGAAATTCATTGTACAATAATTATATGTCACTTTTGGATTCTACAGATATATAAATCTCTTGTACAACATACTTTCAGTAGTATCTTTTTCTCAATTCTATTGTTCTTTCTAACTCTTTTTTAATCTTTTGATATTTTAACAAAAAACTTTCGATATTTCTATTATTACTACAACCACTACGGTTACGCTACGTCTTTCATCACGAATAAAAGCATCCGTGTAACCGCTTGATCATGACTAAAAATAGATATTTTTATTAGAAAAGAAGAAAAGCTGACCATAGATATTTGATTAGCTACCAATAATCTGATAGCTAATATCAAATATTAATGTATCGAGTCAATAATCTGGAACTCTCTTTACTATGATATTTATTTATCTATTTATTTTCTTATGACAGAGAGACACATTCCGTTGTTGTTTTGAATTTATATAATTGTTCACTCTTTATCTGAAACTCGTTTTTTCCGTAGTTTTTAAATGTACGACAATTTGCAACTCAAAAACATGAATTTATTTGATATCATCTTGTTTGAAAAAACGAGGTAATGTAGACGAAAAATTTTAATCATTATGTTGCATGAGAGTATTACTGAGTAAACGCTGTCTGTATCTAATACAATATTTTTCTTTAAACTATTTTATGTACACATCTTCCGTGGAAAAAATGAACGCCACGACTTTCATTCTGGTTCTGGGCAATCAATATTTTTTCCAAATTTTCTCCGATTCTACATGTGTCACGCATATATTGTGGAATAATTTTAAGAGTTCATTTATTTTAATTTCTGTGTCTAAATCTTGTTCAGTGATGAACAAGTTGACAGTTAAAGCGCTCATTAAATGTGACATAGACAGTGCGACCATTTTTGCTAGGTTTTTCAACTGAATTTCTTACACTGATAAATTTGATTTCTTCACATAGAATATGAAATCACTTGATGCGAAAAAGATATATAACATTTGAGAAAATTGAAGAAATTCCCTACTAAAGTTGATCAGATTTTATGGGCGTATCTCATCAATCTTTGTACACGCATATTTGAGCGTCTTGTCATGTTTAATTCATATTTGCTAAGTTATTGTGTTACGATCTTCCGTGTGAGCTCTGATGATCAGCAAATGTTCTTGGATATGAATGTTGTTTGAGAACTGGATGATTATTCAATACATTTCACAATGATAATCATTAGGGATGCTGTTTGTTATGCTTGATATGAAGAACGAATTGTCGATTAATGAACACTCGCTAAATAGTTTGATATATTTATCATGTGATTGTACCGTACACTCACATGAATATTCTAGCAGAAAACGCAAGAGAACGACATTATTCGATTTTGCTCAAAACTTAGCTTCGTCTCAATAACATTGATAAACGAGAAAAATCAATAGTCATTTTGCATAATAAGAGTTCAGTTCTACTTGTACAAACCATTCATTCAACACTCTATACTGTTGACATATTAGATTTAGTAACTGTGCAACTACAAGAAAAGAAGGAAATCGTTTCTTTTAAATAAGCAATATATCATGATTTTGCAAATCGACAACCAACAAGCGATCAATTACGGAAAACCTCATCGATCAAATTTGAATCACAACTGATTAATTATTTGTTTTTTGGTTTAATCGGCGTCATTGAATCCTAACTTGTTTTAGTTATGTTAATAATTTTATTATGCACGAGTTTCAAGTTCTTCCATCACATGCATAACATTTTGCTGGCAGTCGCCATCAAAATTATGCGAGTTTTAGACAAATTTCTTTAGAAATCTCTTGTAATACCTATTGTTTCAGTAAATAAGTAAAATACTCTGCAAAAGATATATCATCGATAATAGATCCATGTATATATGATTAATCTATTTCAGATATTTCTTAGATCAATGTTGAATTTATTTAAAACTCTATTTGTTAAGCGTATTCTACTAAATGAATGTTCATTTCTTTATAACACTAGTAAAACACTCTCAACAGTGACGGATAATAAAACTAATGATAATGATACTACTAGTACACCATCAGCAATAGTTGATGTGTCACAGTCACTAATTACACAAAAACCTGGTTGGGCTACATCTGATACAAATCCGTTAATTCGACAATTAGCTGCAAGAATTAAAGCAGGAGGTCCAATTACTGTGGCCGATTTTATGAAAGAATCCCTTTTAAATCCAGTTCATGTAAATATCTTTTCATATTAATATTTTAAGGATTAGCGTAGTTTCATTATGACTTTGAAAGTTTCAAATAAATATAAGAGAGATAGAGCTAATTTGAGGACGTTAATCGTAGATTACATTATGCTTTTTTAAATACCTGAATATTGAATGTTTATTTTTATTTATTTATACAGGGCTATTATACGACTCAAGAAGTTTTCGGAAAGCAGGGTGATTTTACAACAGCACCAGAGATATCACAAATATTTGGAGAGGTACATCTTTTTCTTTTTCTTTTTCTCAACTAATTTGACATGCAGATTATTTTGCGTTTTTTAGCTTATAGGAGCATGGATTGTTAACGAGGCTGAACAATTTTCACAAAAATTCTTTCACATTGTTGAATTGGGACCTGGACGTGGGACACTGATGAAGGACATACTAAGGGTGAGTTTAAATTTAGTTTTACTAGTCAGATAAATTTGGACAATATCAATGTTTAGTTTTATTATTTATAGGTAGTCCGTAAAAATATGTTTTCCGGTCTTCATTTTACCGTATTTTTCCTTGAAGCGAGTCCATTGATGAAACGAAAACAAGCGCAAAATCTATTAGGTATCGATATAGAACCAGCATTAAATAATGAATACAAAACAAAAGATGGTGTTAGAATACACTGGATTGATGATTTAATTAAATCCACCTACAATGATTTACCAGTGATTATAATTGCCAATGAATTTTTAGATGCATTTCCAGTATACAAATTTCAAGTAAAAAGATTAAATTAATCTTTATTATAAATCAACTATACTCTAATTTTTATATTAGCGTACACCTAAAGGTTGGAAAGAAATTTTAGTTGATTATAATGAGAAAACAAAACAATTGCAATATGTTATGTCAATGAGACCAACTATAATGTCGCGATTACATGAAGGAGTAAGGTAAAAAGTTTTTTTGGATGACATTGTATTTTAATTAAAATGTTTATTTTTCCTAGTATCTTAATAAAATTACAAATCGAAATCATGTTGAAATTAGTCCACAGCGACAAATAATGATGGAACAAATCACCAAAAAAGTACTACTTCAAGGTGGTTTAGCATTAATTGGTGATTATGGACATTGGGGTGAAAAAGAAGATACATTTCGTGTATGCTAATAGAGAACATCAATGAAAAAGATATTTTAATGATTTGTATGTTTTTTTAGGGTTTTCGTCGTCATGAAGTCGTTGAACCACTTTCAGATCCAGGAAATATTGATGTAACAGCTGATGTCGATTTTGAAGAATTAGTCAGTCGTGTACTAGGAAAACACAATAGTAAATATATTTTTTATTTGATTAAATTTATTTTTATAAATTTGTTTATTATTTTCTTAGTCGAGTTTTTTGGACCACTTTGTCAACGTGATTTTTTATATAATCTTGGAATTGATGTGCGAGCAACAGTAAGATAAAGATAAACTTAGCACAGTAGACAGAAGAAAAATTGTTTTGATTTTTAGGCGTTGGCAAAAAACAAAACGCCTGAAGAACAGGATGATATTTTAGGAGCTGTTGAAAAGCTTGTTAGTCCAGAATATATGGGCGAACGTTTCAAATATTTATGCGCAAAAGCGATGCGGTCTCAAAGACCACCAGCTGGTTTTTCCTATTCCAAGTAGTATTTGTAATCTCTGTTATTATTGTTTTCTTTTTTTTTTATACACTTATTGTAATTTTATAATTGTCATATAAAATATTTCCATACCCATAAGCATGTTTTTGTTGTTTTTAAAAAACAAAAAGCGATAATAGTTTTAAGATCTCTTTTATTAGGATCTATTTTTATGTTTCAGTTGCTTATTTCAGATGCCTGGACATTTTGTTAATGAAATATCAAATTGTGTTGATGAATCACTAATCGGTTATGTTCGTGCTCATAGTCATTTGGAATTGGTTGGCAGAGCTGTCATTGCACGTTGTCAAACACCGAAAATAGCCGTAATTAGTGGTGGAGGAAGTGGTCATGAACCGGCGATGGTTGGATATGTTGGTGTGTATGAAATGAATATATATTTTTAAAAATAGAAAATCTTGTCAAAATATCTAGATTTATTACTAATTTTCAAATGATTTGTAGAAGTAAAACGTTTATACCTTTAGGTCGTGGTATGTTGACAGCGACTGTTTGTGGATCTATATTTGCAAGTCCACCATCCTCTGATATATTTCGTACAATTGTCGAGTTGAGACGTCGTGGTGCGGAATCAATTTTGTTAATTATATTAAATTATACGGGTGATCGGCTCAATTTTGGATTAGCAATGGAACGAGCTCGAGAATTAAATATCGATATCGATATGTTGGTTGTAGCTGATGACGCAGCCGTTGATCACGCTATCGGGTAAGAGATTGATTGGTAAATAGTTAAAATATGTTTAATTTTTGTTTTATTCTAGTCCACGTGGTTTATGCGGAACACTACTTGTCATCAAGGTAGCTGGCGCATTAGCTGAAAAAGGAGCATCGATGTCTGAAATTGTTGATTTTTGTCAAAGAGTCCGTGGACAGTTACGTACAATCGGCCTATCTGCCTCCGGTATTCGTGCACCTGGACAATCACAAGCATTTGAGGTAATATTAAAATACATTTTGTTAAAGTACGCCCGATTCGCGCTGTCAAACAGAAGAAATCGACTTTATATTGTATTTTTTTCATGTTTTAGTTAGCCGATGATGAAATGGAACTAGGACTTGGTATTCATGGCGAATCGGGTGTTCAAAAACTCAAGTTATTGCCGTCAAGACAAGCTGTTGATATCGCATTTGGTCAACTGATACGAGGAACACGTTCACTTGATGTGGAACGCGATGATAATGTTTTCTTATTAGTTAATAATTTGGGTAAGTTAGTTTGATATTCTTTGGTTATAGATATGACAGTAAAATATTTCTGTTATTTGTAGGTGGATGTTCAAATTTGGAATTGGGTATTATTTTGAAGGATGCTATTGAAAACTTAGAACATCGCGGTTTACATGTGAAACGAGTGCTATGTGGTGAAATGATGTCATCATTCAATATGAAAGGATTTTCACTGACTATATTAAAACTTGCCGATGATATAATGCCGTCCGTATTTGAATTGCTCGATTTTCCAACAGATGCCTACGCTTGGCCAAAAACAGTTAGTGATGAGGAGTAACCCTGAAATCTTGTTAATTTTATCATTTATAGATTAGTAACACACAATTATCCACTAGCATACACAGTCTACCAGATTCATTAGAATTCAATGATAAGTTCAGTTCACAGTTAGTTATTAAGTAAGCTATATTGTTATTGGACTTTTACATAGAAATCTATCGGTTTTTTTTCATATATGGATAGTTCAAGGTGTCCTCTACAAAACCAGATCCAAGCGACATCTCAAAAACCCATGGTTCGAGAGCTACGAGCGTTTTTCTTGAAGCCTTAGGACTCCTCCGCCATTAGGTTTAGGACTGTCAGAAATGAATGAAAACATAGGTTACTGACTATACTAAATCTCGTGGCAACATTTGTTTTTCAAAATAGTTCCAGAAATCTAGTGACTACGTACATTACGTGAAATATCCCATTTTTGCCTATTTTTGAGTAAAATTCAAAAATTCATAACTCAGTCAGGATCAATCCAAGTTATGTCAGAATCAAGATGTACTCTATTTTGCTTTCTCAGTAATATGCAGTTCAACAGAAGCTTTAAAAATCGACAAAAAATACTCTGGTTTTTGAAAAGGTTTTCTAGAAATCGTCCAAAGTACAAGAATGCTTTTCACTATCTCAAGTTATAAATCACTTGGAACTGTTTGAAAGAAAGGTTCAGACAGCGCGAAGATAGACGAAACTGATTAAGGTAAAAATTCCAGATAAAAATTACCTGAATTTTTTGACTTATGTGTCTAGATTTGTTCTTCAGGTACTGAAAATTTTATTTCAATCGATTGCTTAGTATAAAAAAGGAGAAAGATTTGTAGGGAAAAGTTCTTAGTAATGCTCCTCTAAATGTAAATTTTGAAAAATTGTGTTTATTTTTATTTTGTAGCGAATCGCAATTGACATTAGATCAGTCTCAAGCTGAATTGGTAAATCAAGCATTACAAGGGGTTGTCAAACGGCTACATAACGAAGAAGATACATTGAATAAAATGGATGCTGTTAGTGGTGATGGTGACACTGGTACAGCATTTTCAAGAGCGGCCGATGCCATTAATTGTGATCTCGCCAATAATAAATTGGTGGTTTCTCGACCATCATCATTCTTTCGTCGACTTGGTCTTATAGCTGAAGCGAAAATGGGCGGAACATCTGGTGCTATTTGTGGACTTTTCTGTAAGGCCAATACTTTATATCTATACTTTATTTGAGTAAACAAAGAAATTTTTCTCTTTTTTAGTTGCTGCTGCTTCTAAATATATTTCAGCTGCGGGTCATCAAGGAAAAACAATTGAAATTATTGCCGATGCGTTCGAAAGTGGAATTCAGTCTGTTGAAAGTTACGCAAGAGTTCAACCAGGTAACGATTTAGTGTCACTTATCTTAACATGAGTAGATTATCTTTTTTGTTTCTCTAGGAGATAAATCACTGTTAGATGCTCTTATGCCAGCCATTGATTTTATCAAATCAAAATCTACTCAAGATGTATTTACAGCACAAGATTGGAAGGATTTAGCTTTGACGGCCGAGAAAGCTGCAGATGATACAAAAACATTAATTGCTAAAGTAGGACGAGCGGCCTACGCAAAAGGTGGCGTCGATGTTAATGTGGCAGATCCGGGAGCTGCAGCTGTTGCACTTATCATACAAGCAGTTAGTGATACTTATGTTAAAGCAATATGAAACTTTTTCGTTATTTGTTCATAAATTCGTCGATTAGTTTTATATAACATGACCAAAATATTTAACAATCTCATTCATGTCTGTCACATTATTTTATTTACAAAAATACTATTCTTAAAATCTTTGAATGACAAATTATTTTCTACAAACATATCTATTTTAATTTTACAATACACTTTGTTCGTCTCTACTTCAAATTTATTTTGTTTTCTCTGTCAGATTTTACATTATGCTCGCTTATTTTTACTGCTCTTGCAGAACAAAGACAATCAAATGAAAGGAATGAACTTAATTTTCTGCTCTTTTCTTTTGTACTCTACATAATTTGTTATTGATTTCTTTTTTATCGATTTCTAATTTTTAATAATTGATTTGATACTATTGCTTATATATCTAACACGTGCTGAACGTTTTCTGCTTCTTTCAGTCTTGCTATTTTCGTGCTCAACGACCGGCGTGCAATGAAATTTTCATGATAGTTTTAACAAAAAACCATTTTTTTTTTTGAAACAAAAAATTCATTTAACGTTTTATTATATTTTTTTTATACTTATTATATTTTTAATTTAGGTTTGAAGTAATGCATGTGATGCTTCATTAAAGAAAGTTGTGTCAAACTCTAGGTTATTGTTAGATAAGGTTGTATTTTTTTTTTCTAAATTTATTTTCTACACAATTATATTTATTCGAGTTTGGATTATGTTTTTCTCTTTCTAATGATAATATCTCTCTGATTAGTAATAAACACAAATAATTTTCAGAATTTCGCTATGTAGATCACTTAAGACAGTGACACCAATGTTACACGAGTTCTATTCATCATTTTTAAGATCTATCTCATAAAAAGCTTGATGATAGGTTTGCAGGTTCAATTTTTTTATTGTCGAATTGACTTCATCTAATCTATGTGTTCTCAACAGACATATTGCCAAGAAATGCTGTAAATTAACGTCCCATGTAGAAATTGCAAAAAAAAATGCAGAAATATAAGTGGCGTAACGGGAAAAATGGTTACAAATGCGAAATTCTGTATATTCTTCTAAACAAAATATTTACAAAATTCTGTGTTAGTTCGACTAATGCAAAATTTCGGATTTGTAACCATTTTTCGCGTTACGCCACTTATATTTTTGCATTCGTTTTTGCGTTATTCACTTAATTCACGCAAAAAATATTTTTGGTTTTGGCGACATGGGGAGTTTCAAGAGAAGAGACATTATAATGAAAAGTGTAGTTTCGAAGAGATTCTTGCTATTCGAGATGAAGTTGAGAATCTTAGAAAATATATTGTTTTTGATCAACTAGTGGCTATACTATGATGATGATTCTCTATTACAGATGTCTTCTTTCAAAGATGGTGATCACGCTATATTGACACGTCATGACAGAACTAAAATTGTACAAATTCGTAAAGAAAGGTACGAAATTCTTCTCGTTACATTTGTAATAATTAGATCGTTATGTTTCAATTCTCAATTTTAGACCGATTATAATTGAAAAACATAAACTTTATCTAGACAATCTAATCGATCAAATTGATGGAACATATTACGAATTAGATGGACAACAATTAAAGAAATTAGATGCCAAACAAGTACATCAACTCGAACAAACAGGTAAAAAACCTATCATACTTCAATTTATTTGTAATAATAATATTAGTACATACATGGTTATTCAGATCAATTTGATCATGGCTGTGATAATCGAGATCTATGTGATGAATCGCAAAATCAACTTTTACAACATGAAGATATTGAAAGTTTAAAGTCACAAGGCACATCTGGTCAAGTAAGAGATATATTGTATTTATTTATGATTTATTAGTCAACATTACTTGAAATGTTTAATTAGGAAATTATTTCTCAATTGGTTACGAATAGTTCAACATTTGAAAAAAAGACATCATTTTCACAAGAAAAATATCTCAAAAAGAAGAAGAAAAAGTATATAGAATTTTAAAGAATTTATTACGGATACTAAATTTTTTCTTTTTCAGATACATGCAAATTTATCGAGCATGGAAGCCAAGTATACGTTTATTATGTCAAGCTTATTCATCTGATATTCAAAAAATTATGCATGTATTGATAAATACAGTTGTTTTTTTTTATCACGTAGGTCTTATAGTATGTACTTTTTCTATTTTAGGTTTTTACGTCGAGATACATTGGCCATGTTATTGTCATTATCAAATGTTAGCTGTGAATCAACTGTTGCAATTGTTGAATCATGTCAAGGACTTGTTCTCGCATCTGTTATTCAACGTTGTGCTGGTAAATAAAAACAAATGACTTTGAATAAGAAACGAGAACATATTTTATGATAAAATTTTTCGAATAGGAAATGGAAAAATATTTAATTTAACAGTTGGTGGAAATACAAATTCCACACTGTAAGATTAATAATAATTTATTTTTCAATTTTAAAATGAATTGGGAAAATTCTTGTTTTAGTCCATGTTGTGATTTTATGGATTTTCCATCAGAATTAACAAACAACGTATACACATTACCATTAGAAAATATTGGTGAGTTTTTTTAAAGATTATCATATTTCATAGTCTATCTATTTGTATTTTAATTAACAAAATTTGTTAATGAAAGTGTTTCACTTTAATTCTAGGTGATAAAAAATATCTTATCAATGCAAAATTGACAACAACAGCATGCGCTAATACAGAGACGTCATCAAAAATGAGAGAACAAAAATCTATTGTTGCTGAAGAAAGACGTCAGCGACGTATCGATGGTTTAGAATTATTTGAAAACACTAAGCTAGATAGGTTAGAAAGTACGATTGATAAGAATCCTAGAAAATTTTTTTATTATTTTCATTTTAGTTTAATTATTGCCACAAAATATGATTCATTATCAATACTAAAACATTTAATTAATTATCTTAATATTTCATCCCATTTTGTTATCTATTCACAATTTGTTCAAGTAAATCATTAATTCTTCTCTGAAGAAATTTAATAAATTAAATGTACATTGGTTTTTTTTAAAGGGTCTTTTGGAATGTTACAAATATTTAAAACAACGAGGTGGATGTATTCATGTCGAACTATCTGATTCATGGCTTCGTGAATATCAGGTATTATGTTTTGAGGATAAGATTTTACTGCGTAAAATATTTATTGTATGAAAATTTTTTGTTCTAATTAGTTTTCTTTTCAATCAGATATGTGATTAATTAATAGATATACCTTCAAAATATTTGTTCTATTTTTGTTTAGATTCTTGAGAATCGAACTCATCCATTAATTCGAATGTCTGGTACTAGTGGCTATTTGCTTAGTGGAATAATTGTTGACAACAATTAAAATTTACGTTGGTTTAAACTCTGATTTGGTGTTCATCATTTTCTCATGATTTTTCATGTTTATTAATAAAAATAAAATGATAATATGTTATTATTTACGTTGATTTATTTACAACAAATGATTTATTATCCTAGAATTTTAATTTATTTTTGTAGCTAGAAGGAATTTGTAAATTTGTAGAATTAATCGTCGAAACATCCGCTATGGGGGTGATTAGATTGCCATTATTATTGCTTCTTGTACCGTATGACTTGAAGTATACTGCAATTGTATAGAACATACTTAATTAATCACGTTAAAATGAATTTAGGGCTTTTCTTGTAAACTCTATAACTTTGCAAAGAAAGGTCGTGTAGAGCTGGGAGATGCCTTGTTTTAATCAGAAATTTATGGACTACAATTACGCATCATTAAGAAAGCTTTTGGTTGTTGTTTAGAGTTTCTCGAAAACTGGTTTTCCAGAAGACCGGTCTTTGAAGGCCTAGCAGCAGCATTCATGGTGATATTCGGAATCAGCAACGTCGACTACCTATAGTCCACTCGGTTTCGTCGAAAAAGCGATTTATCAGTTGGGGTACTTCCCTCGTGAGCCATGATAGATAAAAAGTCCAGACGGCTCCAATTTTGAAAAAGAACACTTTGAGCTATCTTCACACATAAAAAACAACTATATTTCTATTCCAAGGTCTAAAAATCATCTCAAAATCCAATGTTTGACAAAGATCTTCAAATTGACTTTTGTGAGTAGACTTTGTTTGATCTCTTCTATCAAATAAAGAAACTCGTAGGTCTCTCTCTCTCTCATTTCTATTAAAAGTTCTTCAAAAAAATATCCTCGACCATTATCTTCTAAAATAGATAGTAATATCAATTTGTATACGAATTGTTTGAGAGGACCTTTTGCTAATTATATTACGAAAAAAACGAAGAGTCACTCAGTGAAGCATTTTAGTTTTCTATCTGAGTATTCGTTTTACTTTCATCAGATCCCTCATTTACTTTCATATGCCTAATAGAACGTGTTATTATTATAAATGAAATCTTATGAGAAATTTTAATTAGATAGATTATTAGTCAATTTAACAAGTATTACTAAAACTGCTGTGTGTTTTTCTTTAAAAAATAGAATCAATTTTTTTTATACGTGGACAAATCTATCAAAATCCTAGTTAATATCCGGAACTTGTATGACTGAAAAACAACAAAAGAAAACGAGAAACAACAATTCGTGTCATACACATACGAGATATAAAAACAGAAAATAATAAATTTCATATACAAAATAAAACAAAACCTAATAACATCACAACAAGTATACAAAACCAAGAAAAACAATGTATTTAAAAAATTTGTTGTTTTTTTTTATATAAAAAAAAACACACAGAGATTGCATGCGTATAGCGCGAATACTTTAAATAAAAATATTTTTTTAGACTGAAAAATTGAAAACAAATATTATTGTTTATTTTTGAATTCTCTTCAATGTCAATGATAATCGATCAGGATTACATTGAATTTTATACGTACAACTCATTGCCGGAATGTCTTGCTGTGATGGGACAACAGCGGAATTATCGTTAACTTTTCTCGTGATTAATGATTTTGTTTTGTTCTGTTGTTCTATTGCCATATTAGCTGTATTATCAAACATTTTAAATAAATTTGAATCTGAACTATTTGATTGTGTTTGATGATTATAATCATCGTCATCATTATCCACTTGTACAACAATTCTATCCAGTTTACTATCATCATTTTCATGTGAAATAGTTTTTGACACTTTTCTTCTCTTTCTCGATCGTTTTCGACATTTAACATTTGTAAATATTTCGTTGTCTAATTCACTCGTATCGGAATCAGTACATAGATCAAGAGATTTAGAAAGATCTGTTGTTTTAATATCGTTTGATCTATCACATTCATCATGATCATCAATATCTTCCGAACAAGATGATAATGTAGGAATAGGAACAATCGGTTTTATAATAACTTTTGAAATTGAGCTTTGTGTATGCGACTTTTTTGATAATGATAGTCGACCACGTCTTCGTCTTTTTTTTGAAGAAGAATGGATATTTCGTTGCTGTTCGTTTACTTCATTTATCGATATTTTACCGCCACCGTTCACATTCAATGTTCTTAAACTTTTTTCTATCTTTGTACTGCAAATCTCAACTGGTTCACCCCAACTAGAACATCGACGTTTTGTTGGAGGTGACAGGCATGATAATTTTCCGAGACGTCGGCGATCAGTAGTCGATTGTAAAAGAGGAGAATGTGATCGTCGATCTTGCTGATTCTGATCTTCTTTAACGGTTAGTAGTAGCTCATCATCTTCTTGCTCTTTAAACGATAACTCCGTTGAAACATAGGATTGAGTTCTCGATCGACACGAATCACCATCAGTATCATCCTCATTCGTCTTATTATTTATAGGTGGTTCATCTAGATGCGAGATTGTGACTGTTGTTAATGGTGATTGTTCATCGGTCGATTGAGCTGTATTACTACCACCGAATCCGGATGATTCGTAACCGGATGAACATGATGGAATTGTGTCACTTGTATGATTTTTTGGAATGACTTCGATAATAAATTGTGATGGTCCTTCATCATCTGGATGATTTATGGTTGAGATCGATTTTAGGGGTGATGATGATGACACTGCATCAAATGAATTTGATACACCGGTTGAATCAAAGGTTGGTGTGAGAAGAAGTAAATTTGGTTCATTATCATCTGCTGTATCAGTGGCGATAACAGGTGGTGATTTTTCGACGGTTTCAATATTTAATTGATGATAAGGCTCTTCATCTGGAGAGATCACTGATGACAATATCATCGATTCTGAAATTTCTACAGGTGGCTGTGGAGTTGACGATCGATCTGAGTTAATTGGTGATGAAATACTGTTTGAATTCACAACAGTCATTTGTTGCTGTTGTTGACATTTTTCATCTAATGTATTCGACGGTATTCTTGTCGCTGGTACTGTTGCTTTTCGTTTTCGCGCTCCTAGGAAAAAGCAAAACGAAACTATTTTCAATGTTTTATCCACCATTTTTGTATATCAATTAGATATTTACTCACTGAATCGATTATTACCTGCTGGTTGTGTTTTTTGTGATTGTGTAACTGTAGTCTCTGGCATTAAATGAAGTGGTAATGAAGGGGTATTTACGCATTGTTCATTTTGAACGGGAATTTCTGGTGAATGAGAAGGAAATGATGGAAGAGCATAGTTAGTGGTTGATAACGACTGCAGAATTCGCTTATAGCTGAGTAATAGTTCTATACAACGTTCTAAATCACGATGATAGATAAAACATTCATCAGGACTACAAAGACCAACATGATGAGAAACTAAACTCTTTTCATCATTATCCAACAGAACTAATTTAATATCAAATTCATTATCACATAGTTTTAAAAATGTATTGATTGTGATCGTTGATGCAAACTGATTTAAAATATGTGATGAAGGAATTTTCCAATCGCCAATGGGAGTTTCCGGACTTTTCACAATGCCATAGAATGGTCGACGACGAATTTGAAATGATCGAATTTCTGGGCGTGGATATAATGGAGACGGTGGAGGAGGTGGTGCTGTAACACGAGATGATTTTGACTGTTGTTCCTGATACGAATGTTGCGAGTTTTGCCGTTGAATATCTTTTGTTAATGCTAATTGATGTGGTTGAAACATATTTGAATTTAATTTTTTTTTGTCTGTTGACGAAGAAACATAAGATGCTAAAGAATTTAAATCTGGTGCCCATTGTGGTATCAGTGGTGGAGAACTTGTTGGATAATGATTAAAATGAGGAGTAATGGAAGATTTTTCTATTGATTTTTCTAAAGATGAATTAATAATTACACCTCCGTTATCAGATGTTTTGTGTGAATAATGATGATAATGGTGAGAATTAGTACTGTTCTTTACTGAATTATTTTGTTTATAATCAGAAGGGTTACTGGTTTTAGTCAATTTTGAATTGGTATGAATATCTATATGGTGTTGTTTTGTATATGAATGTAATAATGAATTTAAAGCAGGATTAAGAACAACAGTGTTTTGTACGGTTGCTAATGCTGGATTACTTGTAACTAAATTATTAGATAATGAACAACTCTGTGGCGCTAAAGATGTTGTGATTTTAATATTAGATTTATTTGTATTAATGACGGATGTTGATTTGGGAACCGTTAATGTTTGTGATGGTGATGTAGTTGATAAACCATAAAAAGTAGCCGTATGAATTAATGGATTGACAACAACGTTTGTCCGACCACATTTTGATTGTTTACAAGATGATGAAACTAAAATAATAAAAATTTTTATCAAATATTCTAGTAGCATATATATGAGTAAAATTAAAATTATTGGTGAGAAAAAAAATCATAATTACTATTTGTATTGATCGAATGTTGATTAATAGCACTGTTCATGGTACTTGTATTTGAAGTTAAATTTTTATGAACTTTTTTTGTTGATAATTTCATTTGTATATTATTCAAACTCATTCGTTCACGTTGTTGATGTTCGATCAATGAGAGATGTTTTATTATTTGAATATTTGGTATTTTGACATCGTAGGCATCGACAAGCAACGTATCCGGTGTCAATACAATATTATCAATTGAAAAATATAAAAATAATAAATTTAGATAATCAATTTCAAATTGTCTTGGTGCACGAGCAAATTTTTTAGCAAAGTTAACACCGTTAATGATTGATGAATATGTATATAATAATGGTACATAATAACGATTGTTCTGTATTAAATAAGGTACTAATTTATCGTTTATACGCAGAGTTCCACCGCGTTGCTTAAGAACATCTTGATGAAATTTATTTACTTGTGCTCGTGGCTGTTTCGATGATAACATTTTAACGTATAATACACGATTTAAACCAATCATTATATGATAAAGATTAACAAGTAATGTTTTCTCGGGTATTTTTTCATCAAATATATTTATATTTGATATTAATTGATTAAATATCTCAAAATCTGATAGAGTAGCTCTAATTAAAAATTTTTTAAATAAAAATTCTTCATTCGATAATATTTGACATTTAATTAAGATTTCGTATGGTACATAAATTTCACGTTGTAATTGTTGTTTTGTTAAGCGGTTATCTATTAACAGCACAAAACAAAAAATTATTATTAGTCATGTGGAAATTAGTAAAACAGAAGTATTGCATTTTACCTATTTCACCATCACGTAGTTTTAATTTTACAATATATGGAACAAAAACATTGTTTATTTGCACCCATCCTGATTTTTTTGCATCTGGTATATATGGAGGTTTTTCAGGTGTTTCATATTGGTGAGGAATAACAGCAGTTGGTGGTTTATTTACATTATTTTTCAAGGGAGATTGTTGTTTCAGTAAATGCTGTTGATATTGCAACGATTGCTGAGAATGCCATTGAAGTTGGGTCGATGGTTGTTTGGGTAAATTATGAGTTTTACTGTTAGTAGATAAATCTTGAGTACTTTTACCATTTGTTTGCGGTTTTGGAGCGATAAGTGATGGTTGTCTAGACGTGGTCCGTGGTGATGAAAAATGAAATGGATAAGAATTTGGTGGCATCAAGAGGTTAGATGGTAGATAGCCTAATGGAAATTGTGAAACTTCTGAATTTAGAAGATTAGGTGGTGATGCTGGATAAGTTTTCATTTGTTTTTGTTGACGATGTAACAATTCGACAACTGTAGATTGTGGTGATGATGTAGGGTTTGTTGATGAATCAACAAATTTTGAATTTTGTGAAATGAATGGTATATGTGTATTGAGAGTTAAATTTGATGGAATTTGTTGATGTAATGTATGATTAACGGTAGATATTTCAAATGGAACGGGACGGTTTTGTTTATGATGGTTGAATGTTGTTGTAGATGGCATCAAATCACGTAACGTTCGAATAGTAGAATAAAAATCAATCAAATCATTATAACGTATTAGACAATCGGTTGACGGTATCGACTTGAAATGAAATTGTGCCAAATGCCATTCGATGATGGAACGAAATAATTTCAGTTCACTCTCGGTGTAGGTAAATGGTACAAGAGGCAATGATTTTGCTAATATTGCATGTTTTTGCCATGATTCATTTTGAAATAACGTATTTTCAACATAAATTTTTGATGTATACCGCTCTTGTTGACCGTTTTCATTTCTAAATTAGAAAATCAAATATTGATGATAAATCAGATGTAGTTTCGAAAATTGAAATAAAGACACGGCAGTGAGAATTTAATAACTAGTACTCATGAGATTCGGATGGATTCATCTTGATTTAAACATTTTTCGTTCAGAATACAAACAGAAATAAATCCATTATGGTGTTTTAAAACTTAAACTATCGAGAATTACAAAATCAGCCTTGCACGATTACGGACTCGAACACAGTAACTTGGGTTTACAGTGAGCTGCAAAAGATTTATTTTGTTCTTAAATGCGACTTTGTCTATATAATTATGAATTAGAATATCAATTAAAAAATACTTTATTTTCTCCTTTTTTGAAAAAATGTTTAACTCCATTTTAGAACAACACAACAATTTTTCTTGTGTCTTGCAAAGCACTTTTATGTTTTAATTAATCACGGTTTTTGATAGACTTTTGCTACGCTAAACAAATACTTTCATTACTGTATTGTAGAGCTTTGTTCTAATCAACTTGCATTGAGAGAATTTATTCGACAGCTGCTATGCTGCATTTTTATTCAGTCATATATACTAGACTTTTCAATGTTATCATTAATTAATATTACATGCAGTCTAGACATCCTTGATTTCATGGCCACATTCGTTAATATGACTTGTTGCTAGTAAAAAGAATCAATGTAGGTTCCTCTACTTTCAAATTCTTCCGAATAAAGGTACATAGCAATATACCGTCAAAAAAAAATTGGTGTGTGTGCGTGTGATCATAGACCAAGAAGTCCGTAACTAGAATATTTATTGGCGTGATATACAATATACAAGTAACAACGAAATTTTCGATTGACGGTACAATTCTTGCCTCGAACGATACATACATATGAGTTCGATCCCTCAGAATAAATAGAGTTTACAAGATGCTCTATCCCTTCTCTGCTACACTTCTGAATAAATACAAATTTGTTCTTTAGAGCTAATACAGTCTCAAGGCTGTTATGTTACTTGTTTCCAATGTCAATAAACGAAAATAGCTATGTTAATTCATTGAGATGAGTAAAAAAAAAATATGTAACGGAGAACTTGTCCGTTATTCTCAGTAAGAATTTTTTCTTCTATTTTGTATGAAAATGAATCACTTGCCTACACCCACAGTATAGTACTAAATGACTTTAGTACGCCTACCAAAAGAATAAGAAATATTTTATGTACACAGTATGATACAATACAAAACAATCTAACAGTCTGCTAGAAGAAAAATATTTGAAGAGATTGTTATTAACTTCAATTTACTCTAAGACTTAGCTATTAGTCACAAAATTAAAACGTGTTGATAAGTGTTTAAATCAGTAAAAGTTCACGTTCTAAAGCCAGAAAATTACTTAAATGCAAAAGGTTTCTAATAACTCTTTTTTGTAACAATATGAAAAGAAAACCTACATATATTGGTAAAATTGTAGCATGTAAAGCATGTAAACATATTATTATCAAAAATGATGATTAATATCTGATGGATATTAACGTTTTATTAAAGATAATCATCATAAAATTAATTAGTTTCCACTAAGGCTTAATTAGATACTATTTCTTGATATGTAAATAAAGGACACACACTTCAATAGTTAGATAGTAAAAAAACAAAACAAAAACGTAAAATATAGATAATCATTAATTAATGAGATAGAACCTTGTCATCTTATTAATAAAATAAGATAATTATTTCACTCCATTTTTCAGCATAAAATGCATTAAAAATTGTAAAAATAAGATTTGAAAAATATTATACAAGAAATATAATGCATACCTAAATAAAACGGGAATATATCGTCCATCTAATTCTTCCCAACTAAATTGATTTAGGCGACTCGGATGATCAATTGTCTCATTGGATAAATTATTTTTTGAAATAGAAGGCAGACAACTATCGTGGCTAATATTATTATTATTTGTAGCATAAGTCGTAATATTTGATAATAATTTTGTTGTTTGTATATCAGTTGAATTATTTGTTGTTATTACTTCTGATGAATAAGATGAACGATTATTATTATCGATTGATTGTCTATTTTCTAATTTAATCGATGATACCATGGCGACTGGTGATACTGATGTTAACATTTTGTTGTTAATGCCATTAACTGATTGAATAAATGGATTTAGCGATGTCGAATTACCTGTGGAAGATAAACGATAATTACCAATTGACATATATATATATAGTATTATTATGAAAAATAGACAATCTCCTTGAGAATATGTCTATGTATGGCCTGTTGTTGTAGCTTAGATAATAGTAAAAAGAATACAATATTTTCTAACTCTTACAATTTTACATTGTTGTTAACATACAGTTTTTGAAGAAATAAAAATAAATCTTACTAGATTTTAAAATTGATTATTAGATTATTTTTAATTTTTATGAGATTCTTCACTATATACATATAACACACATATCAGATACTCTCTAGTCACAAATATCATAGACATTCTCTGTATTATTTTAATTGAAAACCAAGGAATTGGATTGGTCGTATACGTTTTGGTGTTTTGTTAGTTCTTATATTTATTGCGCTGTACAATCATTTATGGACGCCGGCGCACATACATACATACACATCGAGACATTTGTATACAAAATCCATCCACTTTTTTCCCCCTTTTGATTCTCTTTTCCATTTTAGAACGGTTACTAAGCAACCAAAATTTCTTCTCTTTTCCGACAACTGTTCTCTCTACAGGCAATTATCTCACCTTTCACATGCATACATATAGATTTTGTTTCTTTTTTTCCTATTCTGTATGTAGATATATCGAAGCTTCTAGTTTAATATGCGCTCTTTGCCAACAAAATCGGATCTTAATGGAACAAAAACCCCTTCTTACATCACACATAGGACATTTTAATATCAATAAATAGAGAATGGAGAAGTCGATCTTCCATTGATCGAGCAGTAACAAAACAGTGCTATCGACCAACAATAAAAAGATTTTCTTTCATTCGTCTAACCTTTTCCTGTTCTTTATTCCTTTCCACATTTCTTCTTTTTTTATTTTTTTTCTTATTTTGATAGTTGTACAGATATTCCTATGTATGATGTGATGTGTTCTCGACCACATAGTACGAACATCTTTTAGTATAAACGGGGCAAAATGTGATGAAATATGCTTGACTATGAGGGTAATGGATAAAAGAATGAAGAAGAGAGATTCATGACAAATGGGACGGAAGCTCTATAGAGCTTATACTTCTTTCTTTTCCTAGGCATAAAAAAAATTAAACTTCGAACAAAAAAAAAAAGAATGACCTAAATGTTCGCGTTCTAATTCAACACATAAAACCAGTTTACTTTCATCATCATGCAAAAACACATACGGTTACAAAATCAACATATACATACATATGCAAATAGTCAAACTTTATATTTGTTAAGTTTTCGAAAAGAATATAAGAAAAAAGAACTTTTTCATTAAACGGAAAACTATAAAAAAAAAAAAACAATTTCAGATAAGCCAGACTGCGTAGAGACAATACATGTCTGTGAATCCTAATTAGTTTATGACTAATGAATACTCACTAGTTTGTCACAAACAGCGATAAAAACGCAATTAAATACGCCGATTATAATTCATTTTCCTAGACAAGATATAAGCCAAATTTATGAACAAACATTATTAAGAAAAATGCTATAATAAAAAAGCAGCTTTCTCTACTTTGGTTAGCTGAATGTTGAGTAGTTAGCTAAAACAAACTATGGTTGCCTGATTATCTAAAAATCAGTTGTTTCATATACAGAAGAAAAATAACTTGAGGAGAGTTTGCGCGTCTGTTGCTAAATATTTTACTAACTATCAAAGTGACAAGTCTGTCTCCATCAAACATGAAAGATACGTTTTAACTATAATGCTCACTCGCTAATGATTTGCTTCCTCATGATAAATCATTTATTTTACCCATGTGACAAACTGAACTTTTGAATTGATTAAATTTTGACAATCTATCAACTAAACTCACATTACAATTTTAAACTTTAACAACTTGAGTTTAAAATATTTTTCTCACAACTGTTCGTTCTCTCTAAATACGACTTTTTGTATTTAAACAAAATTCTCCAAAATCATTTCAGTTTTTACCACATATGTAGTTTCAAGCGGATTTTCTCGTACTATCCGATGCTTGACCTTTACACAGTGAACAAAGTTCACATCATCAATCCATTGTTCTGTTCTATCATTTATCCTTTAACATATATCAATATCCGTTGAAAATAGTTGACATGGTTTTTTATGATATGTTTCATTGACTGAAACATGCATGAATAAACAAAAAAATTGACTGCCTTTAGCAACGCAAGTATAAGATTTGTGGAAATAAATGACTGATTATCGCACGTGGATAAAAAAATAAAAGTATTAAAAGTTTTTCTCTTTCAAATAGAATTTGGTCTAAGCGAGAAATACACAAACATCGACATATTAATTATATTCGACGAGGCAAGAATCTGTATTTACGCTTTTTTTCTGTTTTATACATGTTTCTTTTTGTTGATTCTTATTTCCTGAGGCGTCAAAAACAGAAAACACACGCACTTACTTACACGTATACACATCTACAGCTTATAGTATCTCTCTAGCGTGTATACCTGAAGTGTATTTAAGTAGGACTCTAGAAGAAAAAAGACAAACTTATAAAGTGATTGGTATAAAAACACCTTAGTTTCCTACAAATTATTTAAACTACAGTTCATTATCCGAACAATAAACGAACGATTTTACTTTTGTAACGAATTATATTTGACGTTAGCATGAATAAAATCGTATATTTTGTCAACAAACGACAGGTTTAGAGTCGAGTGTAATAGCTCTTTTCGAGGAAACATAAGTTGATAGTATTATAGGAATAGAAAAAAGATTAAAAGAAAATCAATTTCAAACACAGATGACTTGACTGAATTCTCCATATTACTCTCATTCAATCCAAAGATAATACAACAATAACCAAAGCATTTTTCTTGAAATTAAGATAATAGATTCTTAGTTTGTCTAAACTATTGTTTGAAAATGTTCCTTAAAAACTGGTCATCTCATATGATCCGTAAAAAATGTTGATCATTTTAGCATCCTGCGCCTAATAGTTCTTTGCCATATTTCCTTAAATATTTCGTTATTTTATCTATATCTGGAATGTTTTTCTAGAAGAGAAAGATTAAATTCGTTTTTGAATCAAATGTGAAAGATAATACACCTAATAAGACTCACGCCAAATCTAAGATGAATGCATTGTAAATTATAAAAAAAAGTCTTGAATATCATCATCAAATATTTAGTATACTGCTATACACATTTCTCCTTTTTTTTTCTTCTTTTATTTCATGTTTAGCATCCATGGAATGCGCTTAAATCACGCAATAGTTGATTGTTTGAAAAAATTTATTTACATGCATATCCTTTCAAGGCACATTAAAAAAGGGTTTTTTGCGTAGAAAATAAGAAAGGGATTTCAGCTACATAATATATTTTTACACTAATTATCACCTAGAGAACGTATATTTGTTTAGTTGCAACATCAAACCCCTAAATACGGCCATTTAAAATCTTTTTCTGTTGCTACCTTTTAATCATTTATTTTTACCCTTCATTTATGGGGTTTAAAAGAGAAAAGAAAATTGACATTTTCTTTTTTTAAAATCTGTTCTTTCCCATGTTGAAAAATTATTTTTGGTAGAGTGATGATGTGCAGTTTATGGACTCTTGACATTTCAATGTCTTTGTGATACATTCAAACAAATAAGACCGCGTGCGTTCGTCGAGATCGGTATCTTTTTTCCTCTTTCACGCGTATATTTATGAGACGTTTTCTCTTCTTTTTATGTTCTTACATTTTTTGACGAACCAGAACATGAGAACCCTTGATTAAAAATACTACAGTGAAGACGATCTATTAATTGAGAATTTAGACTCTATAGTTGTAATAAGCTACTATGAACTGGCTATATACGTATGTTTAGACAAATAAAAGAAAAAAAAATATATATATCGTAAATGCTCGGTCAACATTTTTTTTTTTCGTTCTTCGTCTAGTTTTCATCTTCAACCCTTTTATTTTCTGTGCACTCCAAAAAACCATCATCAATTTCTTATCTCTACCCTGACCTATTATTCTTTTTTGTTATACATATACTTCGATGCGATGATGACTTCCCACATTAGATAATTAGATCTTTCTCTTTTTCTCTCCTCTTCTTGTTCTGACTGAAATTAGATTTGATGCAAATAATATATTTATAGAGCTATAGATTGCTAGTGGGTTTTGTACAAATAAGACATCTTATACGTGCTTCTTTTCTTTTTCCTATTTTAAAATACGAATGTATTTTATAATGTACAGCATCGTTTTTGCCATTTCGATGCCAATTTGTTAATATATATATATTCTATAGTTAACTGGAGACTAGATGTTATAGACAGGCAAATACATTCTAGTTTAAATTAGTTCAAAACTTAATAAAATCTGCACGGACTGAAAGAGAGAAAAAAATGTCCTCTTTATATAAAGTCTATCACGGGGGTGAAATGTGATCTAGGTGTGTTCTCATTCTATTCTACTTCGTGACTCATTATTAAGAAGAGTTCAATGTGTAAAAACCATTTATTTTTATATTCTAACTTTATTTAGCAATGTGATTATTTTGCTGTTACAATGTGAGAATATGTCTGTCTATCTTGTGAAAAAGAAAAGCTCGTCTTTCAGTAGTTTTAAACATAAACAAGAAAAAATTATTAACATAAAATTTTTAGTTAACCTAAAAATGGTATACAATCTAATAGTCTATATATAAATGCAACGAAAATAGCATGTAAAGAGTAGTTAATATTATGTTTATATATATATATATATATGTATGCACCACTTACACCTATATGGTTCACGTTACTAGTTGAAAAGAAGTTCAACGAAGAATGACGAAAAACCATCAAATTAAAAATGTGTTTCAATCCATTTACTAATTTACTAACTTAATTGAAAATTTATTCTTTTTTTATCTCCTTGCTAGATTATAGTATTTATCCCAAGTATCACTAGGAAGTCGGGGACTTCTTCATATTGAGTCTTGATAACTAAGTAGGAAGGTAAAAAACTTTATGAAGTTTTCAAAATAACTAAACTACATGACATGTTGAATATCTGCACAGAATTCTGTTTTTCTAGAGTGAAAAAGCTTCTATAAATGCATTTATTTTCGGTAAATACTAAAGAAACTCGTTTAGACTTAGTTTGGCACCAAATTTTTCAAGTGAAAAGTAAAAATCATCGACGTCAAAAATGCGTTGATTTTAAATAAAATAGATTCACGGGTTTAAATTTTGTTTTTCATGAAAAAATTTACTACACGTATTATCGTGAGAATGATAAGTCTAAAAGGAAGTCAATGAGTGCTGTTCATTAATAACGTAAGGCAGACGGGTAGAGCCCTGCGGAATTGAGTTTTCTCGTCCTGATCCCGATCCCGAAAAAAGTTCAAATTAAAAAGGCTTAATTACGATCCCCCGAAAATTTTTATTTTATTTTAGTTTTGTGATAATGAAACATAGTTCCGATAAATTGGAAAAAAAAATATTTCGATCCTGTAAAATTCTTTCCTCCAGTCCCGATCCTGATTCCGGAGGGCTTTATAGAC